GCCCAGAGATTGTGTTAATGGTGATGTCGATTGACACGCATTCAAGGGCGTAATGAGTCAAGGTCGATCCAGTGTCTTGGGGTTGTCCACGACAATCGGCATGGCCCGTCTGAAGATGGCGGATGATGCACGCCAACATCCAGTGTTTCCTGAGCCCGAAGACGCAGTGGGTTTCAGGCCCCGGGGTTGGCTTTTCGTCGTTCATATTTGGGTAGAGTGTCGATCTAGGGGGAGGCGAATTCGAAAGGCCGGAATATGGTGGTACGCGTATGTTCGATATAGAGAGTCATGAACACGCTGGCAACTTCAACTTGCCTCAGTACATGTAACATTAAGTAGAGAGGGATGCAGTTGCTGGGTTCGTTTCCTTCAGTATCGGTCCCGACTAGGTGGTACGGCGGCGCCCAGCGGAAACTTCGGAGCTGTCGCCCTCGTCGACGAGCCTTTGTGAACCTCAAGGGCCCCTGGTAAAGACCATTGAATAGAGATGATGTAGCTTATTCTGGTCGGATTTGTGGGCGTAGACTTTTGGAACAGCAATTGCGTAGGCAAAGCTTGCTAAACCACAGTGACCTTCATGTTGTCTTGATTCGCTTGCAGATGTTCTCGAGGTCATTGTCCTTTGGGAGGTTTCCGCCAAGGAGCTGGCGGGACACCTGTAGACGATCGAGCTCTTCTTCTTGATCTTCTCGATCCGTTCCAGAGGTGTACGCCGACAAGTTCCACGGGTGGGACAATCTGTGTCCCCTAAGCAAGACCGTGTCGTTGCTGGCCAATTTCTCGAAAGATCGGATAGATCGACTGGTCCGGATAGTTGTAGGGTGGGTCGTCTCCGGTAATGGCCCGCTCGCTTCCGGTCCCGTACTGCGCTGAGAGGCGACGATGCTGTTCACCAGCCGGCTGTGTAATGATCTGGAAATCGTCGACGAGGGAAGTCTTAAACTGCATCATCCCGGAGGCTGAATCGACGGCCGAGGTGGTGCAATACAAGGCCGTTTACGCTTCTTCTTCTAGTCCATTGCGTGTTTGAGGGCGTATGACACTTTAGGCGAGTAGTAGATGGGTGCTCACTCATCTTGCTCGACGTCAGCCAGTTCACCCGGAAACCAACAAGCTATTGTTCAAAGGTTGTGTCTGGGCTTTCTTTGGGCAAGGAGACCAATTTCATCTCGCCCTTGCCACACAAGGGGAGAAGAGTCTGTTGCGACTCCTTTCGATGCTTGAGAAGCCTCCTGTACGATGCGTAGGTCTTGGTTCCGTCTCTGTCTGGTCTGAAGTTCTAGATCGGATGTGACTCCTGACTTTGAAGACACGTGTGAGTCAGCAATCAACTGCCGAACCTTGAAAACGTTGTCAAGGGGGCCAATCCAGAATATCCTTCTGCCCTGAAGTCACATGTTGCAACGTTTTGGGTCCTTGATCAGATCCCAGTCGAGTAAGGGCCCGGACATAGCCAGCAACGGATCTGTTGTCTTGTACCTGGCACCGACCTTGCCCGGGCAGGTTTGATAGCTCGTTATTAGTTGGAGTCATCCTGATCTCAAAGTCCGGACATACTCCTGGGCGGAGAGAACATTGTCTGCGGCTTTGAGAGTAAAACACAGCACTAGAAATTCGCTGTTCTCGAGCAACATAAGAAGCATGAGAAGCATGATTCTCGCAACGTCATGGTTTTTCCTCCGTATTTACCGAAGTCCCTGGGGTTCTGCGATAGGTTGGGCCCTGGGTACAGTAGCATGTAGATAACGGTCCGGATAGGGCCCCAGTCGGAACAGTCGTTGTCGACTTTGGTGATCGTAGGCAACCCATGAGTAAGGAGTTTACATTGCATAGTTCTTGATGACCAAAGTAAAGGCAAAAAGATAGTCGGGAGGCTGAACGGGAGAAACGAGTTGTGGTCTCTCGAGCCAGGGAGAACCATGAGGTTTGCCGTCGTTCATCACATGTATGGCCTGTATTGACAGCATTGCTGAGTTTCTCAAGGGTGGTCTCTGTTCCATGTTGAGAATACGTGCAACCAGGAATCCAGTCCTATAAGAGGTGACGGAGCCGCGAGGAGGACCGCCGGGCGGATGCAAGGGAACGCCGCAGGCACTGAGGACCACCAAGAGGGCCACTTAGGGAATCGGGCCTTGGGTATCGGGCCACTAAGGGTATCGCCACCAAGATCATCATCACTACCATGGCTACGGCCACGGTTCTCCGTCTCAGCCGGCCGTTGGACATTGGGGGAGTTGGTCGTGACCCAGAAGCCAGAATGTTCTTGTGGCCCGGGGGACCGCCGGAGACTGATGCAGTAACCGCGGCAGCGTTCGCCTGGGAACGTGATTCTGGCTTCCTCAGTCGATCACTTGCTTTTCAACTCGCTTGAGAATCTGGAAACTCTGCGTGGGTCTCGCTTGCTCCTATGCAAGCTCATCAGACGTTGACGCGGTAGACCGGGTTTCTGCATTTCTTCATGATTGCTTGTAGAGTCCACAGCAAAGCTCGCATTCGCATGTAATTTCTGATCTTAGAGCACCCTCGAGCCCATTAAAGGCAGATGAATGCTTGTCCGCGTCGGTGCGTTGGACCATTTGCTGCGTGTCTCTTGAGGTGTCATCTCGAACCGGTCTTCGTTGAGTCAGCATTCATTCAATGACATGGGTGACTCCAGTCGTGCTCTGAGCTGTGACGTGGAGGTTGTCAAACGCAAATTGACGGAGATACTCTTATCTGAATACCGACGCGGCTGACGGGCCCGAGAGCGAATGCTTTGTTTCCCTCGCCGTTGCCCCTCAGCAATCGCGAGAAGGTTGCAGCCCCTGGCTGTTCTCTATCGAGATGCCACAGTCGAGAGTGTTGCGCGCCATCATCTCTGCTTTGAGCTCCTCGAATGGCTTCAAATGTGGCTCAACGCATTCGGATCTCATGCAACATGTCGTGCACATGACGATGATGCATTGATGGTGCTATGGAGTTTATCTCCTTGCAACGGACCGCCACTTGAATTTGTTGCTACCACGGCCAAGGTCAATGGGATCTATTACGTATAACGCGTCGTAGAGGCCTTCCAAGCTGCGGTCGAATATACCGATCCCGACGGTCTCCGTCCGGCCGTTGTGGGTGCGTCGGTCGGTGTGATTTCTCCCCACCAGCAGTCGAAGCTTAGAACGCTCAGAGATCGGGGCTCTAACGTAGTCTGGTACATGGTGGACAGAGCTCGCAGTCCAGCACTTTGTAGAGTGGCGCCGACAGTCTTGGTCCTTTGCGGTCTTCGGCGAGGTCGGGTGGGAGTTCGGGCTCGGAACGGCCGTCGTTGATGATGTTTTCGTTGGCGAAAAGGACAATCACACGCGAGGAATTCGGGCCTGAGGGAAACCGGCAGCACTACACACCAGGCACGTCTTATTGTTGCTGCAAGTTGCCCTCAAAAGTTACTGGAATTCGCTCGACGTTTGACCTGATGCTACCATGGAGACACCACACAATGTCATTGCGTATGACGTGTATCTTCTGGCACCAGCATTAAGTAACTTGGAACTCTGGAGGCTAATGCTGAAACACCATCCGAGAAAACAACCGGCGCAAAGGAGGTAGTCCAGTTGGACGACAGAGAGGCAATTCAGAATCCGGAGTTCTCAGACAGCAGTGACCGTGACTGTAATGGAAGTAGTAAGAACAGACAAATCAGTTCGTGCTGTAGTCCGTGCGTATATTACAGCTTCTCGTGTTGTGATAGCAGCGAATGGCACAACGATCTTTCATGGCTTTCTCGCCAAGAGTAGATGTGGGTAAATCGCAAGATCAACGGTACGGCTCCATCCACGACTCAGGACAGCAGATTCGTAGTCGGGTGATTGGTCTCGGTGGGCCCGGGTTGAACGTAAATCAGTATTCAAGGAGCATTCGGGGTCTTGCTGTCTTCGTGAAGCCATCTGGCAGTAGGCAGCATGGCCTCGTGGACACTCCGCGGTGTCAGCTAATCATTGAGCGTGGAACTTCATGATGTGCCAGATTGAAGCCTGCAGCAATGGGAACGAGCTAGAAAGGTTGTCGTGTGGCAGAAGATAGGAAGGCGAGAGACTGAGCAGGGCCGAGACATAAGTCTCGAACCTGAGTCTATGAAGTATCGAAGGGGACGGCGGATGATAACTTACGAATAACGGTAGAGAGGCCAGCAACCTCTGGACGCCGAGAACTCGATATCATGCTGGTCCCGGCGTCTTGGCCCTGCTCAATGAATTGCGCTTCGATAGAGCACAGAACCCATGGGATCATGGGGATAATGTGGCAACGAGGAAGCCGCATAGCTACCGAATTTCCAGAGGCGGGGGCGGGGTTGTAGAGAGCCTGTCTTCAGCACGACGGCTCGGAGATCCATGAGTCATCTTGAATGGCAAGCTCCTCCCGAGTCTCCTTGTCTCTGTATTCAGGTAAGACCCAGAGATTGATCTAAGTCCGTCGCTACCCAGGTGTGGATTTGCAAGTCGGAAACAACATGAAGGATGTGGATCAATATATCGTTATGCCAGACGGGGCGGGCCCGGCGAAGGTAGATCGCATCGTCAGTGCTCCCTTGAATCCGTGCAACAGCTCATTCGGCTAGAAGATGGGGGATTTCCAATCTGGCGAGGAGCGAGGCGCGATGTCTTCTCGACGTTGGGCTCTGCCACCAAGAAGCGAAGGTATGTAGCCCTTATCCAGCAGTCCTATGATTCAACTGCATCGTAGCGCCTGAGCGTCCCCACTGACCTGACGCATTCGTCCCGTCGTCTTTCGGAACGAGACGAGGCGAAGTGTGGTGCTATTGTGTCCGAGTAGCCTCGTCCAGCTTTTCTTTCATTTCTCGTAAGACTTCCTCGGCTGGCTTTCTGTTGGTGTGGTGGGGGACCGGAATCCTGGTTCTCGTATCGGACGTATTCCATCATGACGGCTATAGCAAGCCTTTGCTGATACAGGTAACCTCAGACTATTCTGGAGGGTCTGCGAATCGATGTTACTGTTCTTCGCGATGGCTGTTACTGTTCTTCGCGATGGCTGTTACTGTTCTTCGCGATGGCGTCCTGCATCTTCTGCATGATCTTGGTGCCAGCGTCGTTCGTGAGCTTGGCAAGCGCACGCGTGAACTCGTCGTCAATGGGACACTCGATACTGTCTCTGTTACACTTTGGCCTGGTCATGACAGCCTGACCTAGGAACCCCGACTCGTTTCTTCTTGGGAAGGAGGCTCTCAGCACCATGGGTTTGAGTTCCATGGCCCTGAGGCGTTGGGTGATACTGCCATCTTCAGTCTTCTTTCCTGCAGCGGGAGCCGATCAGAGCCCGCTCGCGCAACGGATCCGCCGCATGGCGTCCAGCACACCACCTTACAGTGTGATGCAGGAAGTTGTTAGCGGGGGCCGGTCAGGGCCGGGGCGCTCTGCCTTATTTGTACCTGTGGCTCTTGGTTTGCTGCCGCCGAGGATAGGCTTGCCCCGTACGACCGAAAGCAGGCCATCTCCGCCCCAGTAGGAGGACATTCAGCATCGTGAGTCGTCTTCGTCTCCGCTTCTAGGTATACTGTCCTCATACCTCTGCGATGCCGACCTGAAGAGCGTCCCCTTTAGCACCACTTGCGCAACTTCGCTTCCTTTCCGCTGGTGTATCTCATCTGCGACAGAAGTTTCATGACCATAATCAGCCGTCTTGAACTTAAAGTCACAGCCTGTTGCCGAGTTGACCAACAGTCAAACTGACTTCTCGAATGTCGAACATATGTGAAAGCCAGTCCTTGCCTCGCGCATATGTTTCACCGTTTGCTGCGCTTCACCGGCACCACAGAAAGCCGAATTCGCCAGCTCCCAATACGGCGGCGTCACTTCGAGTGCCGAGAAGAATTCTAGATATGCTGATGTGATGCTCGTCAGGGCCCGGGGACCAAGATTGAAATGGATGAATGAAAAGACGGCCGAAGATTGAACGCGGTGTGAAGTTGGTCTTGTTGTGATAGTAACATGAAGTTGTAAGGGCCAGACGCGTCAACGTATGCCATGATGGGCCGCTGCTTCGAATCCAAATTCAATATTTCCGAACTGTGGTTGCGGCAACGCAGACGGCTCACTACCAAGTATTTTGGTAGTCAATCATTATGGGTGGAAAGATTGGCAATTCCGTTTCGCCATGACAAGTCTTCGCCGACGAAGAGTCAAGAAGTCTTTCCGGGCTCTGTGAATAAGACGATGGATCAATCTGTTTTTTTTTGGTGGGCTGGCAGGGAGACGGCTGGGGGCCACCCGCCCGGGGTTCCAGCGGCCCTTCATCGGCCAGGCGTACTTCCCATCGATTACGAGCTGCTGAAGACACTTGAACGCCCGGTCAAAGTGATGCTCGGACAGAACACCTCCTTCGTGATGTTCGGGTCGCCTTCCTCCCAACGCGCGGCAATCCCTTCAACCCTCTCGATCGACTTTGCATGCATCTTCAGGGTGGAGAATCACCCATTGGGCCACTTGAGAATAGAGGAGACCCTCTTGGCGGATCTTGGGATCCGTAAAGTTTTGCCATCCGATGAAGAGTCTCGGGTAGTAAGTATAGGACGCTCCGATGGAAATTCTCGTCGGTCCCGGGCCATGAAGAATGATCTCCTTTTTTGGGCTACCCCATGTGCGCCTTGCTCGTGAACCCTAGTTCGTACGACAGAACCGAACTACGCGCTGCTCCCGAATAAAGCGAAGAACCACCGCAACTTCGACCAGCAGAAACCCGCTCGTCCCATGAATGAACTCGAGGGATCTTCGGGTATAGGAATTCGAGGACGACGTTGTGCTTTCAGCATCCGCCGGGAGGCGTCAAATATCGAATGAGGGACGTCCTCACGCAGACAACTTGAGGAAGCTTCTCTCCCTGTCCCATCTTCATGGAGTCTATGATAGCCTTTCTGTGAATTCCGACGGCAATGAGTGGAGATTGGCTTGGGACGGAAGTGTAACTGCACGATCGGAGAGGGAGCTGTTGCTGGCAGTGCCTGGACTGCGTGAGGTACTTAGCAGGGCAACAGGCGGAGCGATTGGATGCCCTGGCTTTACTCACGCCGCGTGATGCCGTATGCAGACACGATCCCTCAGAATCAAGACCAGCACGCCAGGAAATTGTAGTAGGGGTCCCGGGGAATAGGTCCTTGCTGCATGTTGCGATAAAATGAAGAAGGCTTGGATGAGAAAGCGTTGAAGCTGGGATGTATTCCCCTGAGGGCATGTCAAGAATTTCGCTTGCCTTAAGCACGACAAACATGATCTTTTCCCATGCATCAATCAGCTGGTCTGGGGAAATTCTGCCGTGTTTTGTGGATAGTCTCTTGTCTCGGGGAATATCCACAGCTTCAGGCCGAATCTGATACCGAAGTGTCGTCCGGGGGCCCGGGGAGTCAACGTGAAAATCAGACACTCTCTTCTCGAGACTAGAACCGTTTCCCCCCGTAATGACTTGCCCCCATGTCTTTGGGTTTTGTCAACATCGTTGCCGCTTAAGAGTAGTAATACTGTGCTGTGATGATGAGATTGTGGACGGCATCTTGTCGAGAGCGTTGGCATGGGAGACGGAGTCGTGCTGAGGGCACAAGAGCCAGCAATACCATTTCAGGCCGTCGGCAACTGGGGACCGGAAGGAGGATAGTTATGAAAGATACGCTTGGAATGCGGCCAGTGCGGCCATATTTGACGACAAACTCGACTTCCAGAAGTAGAGATTATTTCCGTTGCTCCCCGTGCCTCTGCACAAGCTCGGTTAAGGACGATATTGACGTGTAAGCGTGATTCCTTGCCCACTTGGATGATGCTGCTTCGCGATGGAATTGGCGGTCAAGCCTCTTGACAGTGAAGTAGACATGCTCTGATATAGCATGTGCGGACGATGTGGATTTGAGACCAACACGAGCAGTTGATAAGGCTTACTGAGAATTACAAAATGGTTGTGTTATCCTCTGGCACTGCTCGAAAGGGAAGGGGCAGCTTGTCCTTGAGACAGGAGAAGGCATTGAGCAGTGTAAGCGGGAAATACCTTGCGAGTGCCATGGGTTTGCGCCCCCAGCCCCTCGAAGGAGGGAAGTATGCGAAGACGGCCAAAGTTGCCCTGGGATATTGGTCTAGGTCTGTCAGTCCAATTTGATTGCCCGAGGAGAAGGCACGTGTAGCTGCATTGCGTCAACTTTGGTCGCCCCGGAGACGATACAGCTTTAATGGCATCAAGACGTTTCCGCATCTTTCGTAGCATCGGGCGCCAATTCGTTTCCGCGTTTTCAGCCCCAAGACCTTGAAGGCCTCCATATCGCCACGCTGCTTCCGGGAAATCCACAGATTTCTGGGAATGGCCACACCTTCGAGCCGTGCAAAGTTCGGGCCCGGGTTATATCTGGAAGATGGACATGGAAGCCCGTGAAGATCCCTTTGTTGCCATATCAAGGTGTCTGGCACTGTCTGCTAGTGCACCTGAAAAGCAAGACGGTATTGGAGGGTGTATGAGAAGATTGAGGGTCTGTCCCTTTGTCAACCGGACACCAAACAGTCAGACTTCCTCCAGGTCAGCGCATCACTGGGGCCAAACGACCAACACGGATAGAGGGCTGTTCTGAATCTTGGATACGCGAACCGTCATTGTTGGGAGAGCCGGACGTCGCATATCTTCCCTGGGAATATCGTTTCAAACGAGACATGTCCTCAACCCAAATTCTATCTGGGTCGCCGATGAAGCCGCCCGAAGATGGAGCGAGGATAGTGATATCTGTACCAGACGGAGAAGATGCAAAGCCGTCGCGAGCGCAACTTGGCAGGTTCTTGCAGAGACGCCTTCGCCATGATCGGCTAGCGTATTCACACCGAGAACTCGTATCGACTGCTTGATCCCAGTGCAACCCCGTTTCGGGGCTTGAATCAGGAGCGTGGGCATTCGACAGCCTGGAGTCTTGGCTCCATGAAAGGACAGTAAGGTGCCAGCAGGGAAACCTCAAGTTCGTAGCGTTGCCATTCCGAACAATCTGATAGCCTGCCTTGAGCTCGCTTGTTGTAGGTTACGAGGCGGCATTGCGCCCGAGGCTCTCATTGGGGTTGTGCAATGTTGGGGTTACCGACTTGATGCTGCGTGTTTGACTTGGTCGCTATAAGATGATAAGAGGTAACCAGGTGAACAATTGGTGATGCTAGGTGAATGGCACGCCCCGATAGTCAGGGGCGGCAGGCGTAATTAACAGTGGAGGCTGATTTGCAGAGGGGGCAACTTGAGCAAGTTGTCGATATTGACAACCGCTAAGGGCTGCTTTAGCGTTCTACATCGCATGGAACTTTCCTCCCAGGCACTTTGGTGAAGGATCGACTTGCCAGGTGAGATGTGAAGGCCAAGAGAGGTAGTAGGTGGCGGTGGTGTTGAATCGACCAGGAATGTAAGTTCGGGTGTGTAGAGGGACCGCCTTGTCAGTTGGATGGCATGCCAAGATCGGCGTCTCAGCGTCATTGGAATTAGGATGATATGTGTCCACCGTGTACGAATGTTAAGCAGCGTGCTCGGGCATGAATCAGAATCGAAACCGACTGTTGCTCCTGAGTACGGAGATACGCAAGTACTCGAGACAGTTGCTTGAAGCTGAGATCCGTCTCAGCTGCCACACCCTCTCGAACGAGTTTGTGGGAGAGAAGCCGCATTCTTGTAACCATTATATCATGACTGTATCCAACAGCCCGTGGGGTATTGTGCTTGGGACGACAATTGCGATGTAGTCGTTGTCGTTGATGCCTAATCGCGGATATGACTGCGGATCCGGTTAGGGCAGAGGAGGGCAATGATGATGTGTCGTCGCCATCTTGTCATGCCAGTGGACTCGAAGCGCACACCCTGTAAGTTCGTTTGGGGGGTCGACTGGTGTTCGCCGGACCTTGCGGAGATGCAGAGGTCGCAAAGCTCTAGCCGATAGCGCCGCAGTGAGGTCAAAGACGCGAAGCCCCGGTAGGAGTGCATTAAATCGGAGTGAACTCGCTGATGTGCTTCGAATATGTTACCGTGGATAACCGGAAAATGCAGCCAGGTCCTGGGATTCCGGACGTGGCATCCCGGTTGTTTTGTTTGATGCGATCTGGTTATGGCCCAAATTCTCCGGCCCTGGGCCGATCTTTCGTGACCCTGAACTTTGTCCGGATGCGTTTTGCGACGGACCATGACCACCTCGCGAGTTGGACCCAGAAGGGCCGCCACGGCCGGCCCCACGGCCGTTGTACGAGCCCCTTCCAGCGTAGGGCTCTCTCGGGTGTCTTCCCGTTGCGGCTGTCGTGGGGATAGGAAGCAGGTCGAGGCTTGCGGTTGTGACCAGCTCCACGACGTGTGTGCCTTGGAAAGGGTATGTTCGACTTGTCGGTTGCTGTGCTGCAACAGACGAAGACATCGTCGATGTCGGAGTCCGCGTAGAACTCCGGGGGGAATCGCTCAGGCTGGACTGCTCACTGGAGCGTTTGAGTTGATCCTCGTGGATTTCCTCGACATCGCTGTCGAGGATATGGCGCCAGGGCCGTGTCAGGGCTATTACCAGATAGAGAGGCGCCGCCGCACTCATCCTTTTCGCGGATGCTGGCGATGCCGCGGACGAGTTTACGGCAAGCGGCGATGAATTGCCTTCGAATCGCAGTAGGCGAAGGCAACCTTCGCGATGTCCATCTGTGTGGCGGAACGAACGGTTAATATTGGCCAAGTCTGGCTGAGCATAGTATTCGCCATCTTCCCAGTCTGCTTCTCAAGGCTCGCGTGCTTCGTCTATATGTCTGTTGCACACGACGATAAGCTCCATCTGTTGGAACTCTTCTTCGTTATCCGCATGCCTTCGACCGTCTCGGTAATCGAAGTTGAGCCAACGGCCGCCGTCGTCTGCAACCCTCCGTGTGAGGACCACTGCGACCGCTTGAAGTCTTCGCCAGCAAGGTAATGTCCCTATAGATGGTGACTTTCAGCTCTTGTTGCGCAGAGCTGGTAGATCTTGACATATGTCGTCGGCCAGTGACAGCCCGATCCCACGTTTTGGGAGTCGCGTCTCTTCGCTCATGCTCTGAAGCTGGATTGGCTCGACTATATTGTTCGTAGGTTCTAGTCCTCTTCACACACTGTAGTCGCGTGTCATGGGCCCGTGGTCTCATTAGCCTTGATGCGTGAATTGATCGACTGAAGATGTGTATCACGGGTAGATCGTCGTGTTGATGCCCCGGGCAAAGATCTCCTCATGGATGAACAACCATTAATATTTGGCCACCTTGCTGTTCTCGTTGTCACGGGACGGACCACCGCAGAGGCTTTAAGGCCTCAGCCGGATCGGCTGAGTGGAGAGTGTACTGTCTGCCGATAACCCCTCAACTCAGTCGATGCTTGCAGACACAGCTGAAGAGGCCCCGGGGGTGTTGTCAATGCGCTGGCCAGATCAGTGGCGCACCGGAAGCGACGAACTTGAACAGCAGGTCAGACATAGTTGTTGAGGTAGTCATCGGAGAGACAATTGTATGCTGGGAGGGAGACCACAATGGGTGGGCGAAAAGGTGAGTAAGATGGGATATATCGCCCCAGCTGGCGACAGGCAGATGGAAACCCTTGATGTCGGGTTGATGAAACCATTCCAAATGCCGCTTGGAATGCGATAGACATATATCTTCTCAGTCGAACCAAGAAGTGATTGGTGTGATTCTTTGGGGATATTTGTGAGCATAGAAATGGAGCCAGAGGTGTTCTTTTTGCCTTTGGTTCAGGCGAGTGACCAGGACGAGACCAATATCTGCAATCTCACAAACTTTCATTGAAGGTAGGCGCGGGCCTCATGGATTCCACCAGCATGTTCGAGAAGAAGCTGTGTGAGAAAGCGTTCTGTTATACCATCCGGCAGAGAAGCATGAGTAAGCCGGAGGACCGAGGCTGCAATGTGTTCCTATGGCCGTTATATCAGTGAGGGATGAGTTTCGGGTGAAGGCCGACTTGGATGTCAGCCAGCCCTACACTCTGATCACTACCTCGCTCCAGCATCACCCACCACTGCACTCCATCATACCCACGAATGGGACGGTGAGAGAGGCGTCGCGAAGGCCCGCCTTCTGTGCTAATTCGGGGGTCCACTATGCAGGCTTGATCGAGTCCAGAAGCCTCTGACTCTACCCGCGCAATCGCTGGTGTGAGGAGACGGTATGAGGAACGAGCCCAGAAGAATGAGCCATAGGCATTGCTTGTTCTGTGGGTACATATCGGTTGATACTGTGAGTCTAGCAGCTGTACTGGGGCATCACTCATCCCGCATGTTCAGGCCGCCGGCGCCATCCGAAGTTGTTGCGTGTCTCTTGCCCTGAAGAGGACTCGAAACTCCCTCCATTTGGCCTCATCTAGAGCCGTGTTGTCATGACGGATCACTCCGACGCACCTCGGATTGCTGACTCCCCATGGTCCGGGTTTTCATGATTGGGGAGGTCCAGCATTGGAAGTCGTGGTATCTTTCCCTGGGCAACCACTGCCACAAGGCCCAAGTCGTCTCGTTGGAGCATATTTGCTGCCACATGACCAACGCAGCTGGGTCCAGCGCATGGAAACCGAAACTTGTCCATCGTGAGAGCGATCGGGCGGCTCTAAGATCGCCATCATCTCAATTGGTATCAGTCGAGGGACTATTCCTCCGGCTGACATGATCAGAACGTAGCCATCTTCCACCATTGCTGCTTGATGTTCAAGTGCACCTTAGATTCTCTGGGAAGTGCGCGACGATTGCTGATGTCTCATGATCGGGGATACACACCACAATGGCGGCATGGTGTGTATCCCCGATCATGATCGAGTTGCCGTTGTGCTGCGCCCGGGGCCTCGAGCACGCTGAGACCGAGTGTTATTGGTTGGATATACTTGGAGGCGGCATGATAAAACTTCTGAGTGTGTGCGACATGCTCGTGAGACGTTGTTTTGTGGGAGTTGCTATGCATCTAGCTGAAGACGCCTTCGACGATTCCCACACAATGAGGTAGTTTGGATGATACTTGGGCAACCGGCGCCGAATGCGACTGCTTCATTCCCGACTTGTTGGCAGCGAGCCAGCATAATGCTATCCTCTCTCTCACGCAATCTGACATCTGATGTTCGGCTCATCGAGAAGGCTAAGAAGATTGTGGACTTGCCAGTTATCTGACAACCGCTGCCATCCGACATGTCAACGTCTTCCTCCCGGACTTGCTTTGGAGGATGATTATGTGCTCTCTGATGTTGATGAAATCCGTGTCATTGGGGGGCCATTGCCCCCATGATCCCGTTCTCCGTAAGGGCCGGAGAGCCTTACAATGGAATAATGGTGATCTGACTGATCAAGCTGGTTCTGTGAAGAGTCTGTTGTGAGTTGGTGTAGGTACCGCCAGAGAGTCTCTCATAGGCCCTGGGGCCTGGGGGAAGTTTATGGGTAGGCACCCGGAAGTGGGGCCCCCTTTACACGTAACATTCTCTATCCGGAGGAAGAGCAAGGCAAGATGTGGTATTCTTCTCGATTGGCATTGAGCCCAATGGGCCATCCTGAGCAGGATAGTTGCGTGTCTCGATTCAAAACCAGTCGATGATCCGATTGAGCATTGCTCAAGAGCTTGACGCGACGCATCGGCCCGAACACGCCAGAGGATTGTGGCCACCTCAAGATCCAGGGATCTTCCGCGCAGTGGAGGATGGCCACCCAGACGCTCGGCATCGTCAGCTTGAATTCATCGCTGACAGCGGACTGCCCGGACTGCCCCTAGTTCTTTCCCTTGGCGGGGAGGCTTTCTAGCCGTGCTCAGTGAGTTTTCCCTCCGGAGACGTCTTACCAGGGAAAACGCGTCGTACTCGTCCGTGTCTGGGTTGCCGTCGTGCAGTTCACAGGTAACTGAAAACCGTTTACCGTCGGCAGAGGGCATGCCTGACCTTCCCGTTGCATCCAGCATAATGCGCAGTGCGCAGAGGAACTCACCCTCGTGTCTAATGGTGCCGCTGGCGACGAGTCCTTGGTTGTGGTACAAGTGGGTGAGGTAGATGGTCTGGGCAGGGTTGACGGGGTTGGACTCTGCAACGGCAGAACCAAACTTCTTCCAGCTATTTCAGACGGCAATAACTGGTGAGCCTCGCTGCTCCCGAGGCTCGTCGGCTGCAGACGTCCGGCCATCGATAATCTTAAAGTCGACAGAGGGCAGGACCTCGATTGTGCGAGTGGTATGAGACGTCTTTTTCGGCTCGTAGCACCGTAGGGCGCAACAGAAAATTGAAATGCTGTCATATAGAGGCTATATGTACGCAGATCCTCTGACTATACGTCTGGGAAGAGCAGCTTGCGTGGGCCGATGGGCCTCGTTTTGACCGAGATTTTCGCAGCCAGTTCGAGAGCCCGGTGTTGTGGAAGGTCTTTATCAGATGATCATGGTTGTTCGGGATAGTAGAGAAGGGAAGCCAAAGCCCGTTTCCTCTCCATCGTCCGCATTGCACGCCAGATCATCGTTCGCGGATTGCCTCAGGGCATGCAGGGTAAAATAGCAACCAAGGACCTGAGTAAGTTTGGGCCGGTTGATGGGAAATCGGGAGGTTGCAGTGCATGCCGAAGTCATTCTCCGTTGCATCGGTGTCTTCACGTTGACGCGAGGGAAATTGCTGCGAACAGTTGGGGCGGCGGTCGAGACGAGTAACCCTAGCGGGCGGTTGGCGACCGTTGGCAATATGATGGCCGTGATTTGGGTCAGACTCAGTAGGTCCGTTCTGGCAGGGTTTCCAGGAGACTCTTTTCGGAGTCTTCGGGCATCGTAGGCACCAGTATGAACGACGCCACAAGACTCCGCGTGCCAGGTCTCGCGGTATCGCGAACAGAAACCTTGCCAAAAAGCGGGTTTGCCTCCCGGAAAAGGTTTGTGTCCTGGTTGGCGCTCGTATCGGGTAGCATGGAGAACATCTGCTCGGAGAAATCGGAGCAACTTCGAACGCCTGGATACCTATGTGGATGAACTCGCGCGTACTCAGACTCTTGAGGCAGATTCAGCTTCACACCAAGTAGCTCACGTCCGTGACATCAAGAGCCGACACTCGGTTTACGCCTTCTCGGAGGTTGACCGGTGCTGCACCCATCTGCTCGTAGACCATAGATAGGGAAACCAACTAGATCGTGTTCCAAGAAGGAGACCTTCTATTGATTGGTTAATGGCGCTTCCGACTTTCTCCTGTTGAGTCCCCTAATATGTGAGGGGTTTTCGAGCTTGTCGAGGTCATCAGCGTCAACTGGTTCGGTGCGCACAAAGTCTGCCCTCCTCAGATGGAGTATGGCCGCCGATGTGCATACCAGTCGATCTGATACCGCTCAGAAGGAGCAGAGGATTCTTTGGTGTTATCCATTTTCGTTGATGTTCGAAACGCGAACAGAAATCTGTCTGGCTTTGTCGTCGAAAACCTACTGCCCGCACTAGGTCGGGTAAAACTCGGTCATGCGAGAGGGGCCCGGGGACTTTGACCGCCTCCCGAACGACGGGTCCACATTTCCCGGGCCGATGTCCGGGCCATCGGGTCCCGTCGGTCCCGTCGTGTTCGGCCTGCTTTGCCTTTCTTCCTGCGCAAGAGTCAGTCAATGCGACCACACGTAGTGTTTGGTAGAGCCCACTTAGCTCGGCATAGGTGCCGGCCGGGTCTGGTTTTGCCAACATATGAACGTCGTCGTCCATGTTTGGCTTCTTGGTGTTGTCGTTGGCGATAGAGGAGATGGTACGAGACTGAGTGGGTGCTTCAGATCGCCTTTAGTAATTCCAGTATACGCAGCGAGACAATCAGATTGTGAAACTCTGGTCGATGCACATCTTGGGGATGAGATTTCGTGGCATCAGCCAATGTAGCAGCGCCAGTTGAAGAGGGCAGAGCCACTGACTGCGAATTGCGGAATTTCGGACCGTCATCAAATCAGATCACAGTGGGCTTCCATCGCTAAGCTGCCGACGGCCGATGGCTTTGGCGACAAGCTCCAGCCACTTCGACTGTCGACCTGAGACTGACTCACAGAGTCGTCTGTTCGAATCTCAACATGCCACTGCGAAGACGGACAGCCCGCTAGGTGCTGCAGTGTTATAAATATAGACCATGATCGAAGTCGCTCAGGGCGGCCAGTTCTTCCAAGTGGAACACTCGGACACTCCTCGACGGGTTCGACATGTTTCCACGACACAACCTCAACCATAGGGGCGGGAAATGTGACGCCGGAGAGACGAAGGTCGTGCATGAACTCGTGCCCACAGAACACCCTTGTGAAAGCCATACCCTCCAGGACGCACTCCTGCATTCACCACGCCAAAGACGCTTCAGCTTCGGAGTTCGGGTTCCCATTGCAAGGATAGCCGTGTCGCTCGGGCGATCTTCGAGTGAGTCCTTGAATACTGGCGATGAATCTCTTCGGACAGTCCTTCTTCGCGACTTGATGGACACAATACCCAGCTCTTTGTGTTCATCGCAATAGAGAATGTCTTCCCGGGGAATACTCGGCAAGGTGCATCTCTCGGAGACCACTTGGCCGCAGCTGCGTATCTCCTCGAACAATGCTCGAATGGCCAGACGCAGGAGATGAGTGACAAAGTCCGTGTGTCCTTGTGCTTCCAACTCCTGATCGCTTCTTCTCCATGTGCTCTTTCCTTGCGGGGCCCGACTGGGTTCATCACCTTTTAGGAAATAAGAGCAGCGGATGCGTGATACATTGCGCCGAATGGCTAGCTGGGATCGAACGCGCCCAGCTGGTAAATGAAGGAGTGAAACAAGCGGGAACACTTCGTGGTGCTTCTCTCGCTCTTCGTGACACGGGTGACGGCTTGATGCTGTCGTCTGGATAGAGCGAGTCCTGGAGCCGTAGATCGGCTGATGGCATGCCTGACGAGCTCGGGATCGGGTCTCTGCTTGAGCTCCTCTCCAATGCCACCTAGATCTTGATACGGTTCTTTGGAGGTCTTTCCAGGTGTGGCTGCGTCAGGAACGGCACGATTTTCCAGAATGACTTCCTGTCCCTCGATCAGGACACCCCGACCTCTGAGACGCTTCTAATGAACCGATTTGGGGAGACCAAGATCGCGAGGCCCGCTGTGCTAAGCGTAAACAACTGTGTCTTGGACGAAGCCCTGAGTTTTCAGAGACTCCTTCGACTCTTTGCCCTTCAAAAGTCGGTCTTGCCCTCATCTCACGGGTCCGTGGAGAAGACTCGTTTGAGGGGTCGCGTCTCGTGACGATGAAATCCACTTCTTTTGACTTTCGACACTGTGGTGCTTAGTCGGACATCATGCAAGCGGCGCAGATAATCTCGAAGATTTTGCCGGTAGATGCACAGGGCTCTCCTATTGAGGTATCCGAGCTGGACCCGGGGCCGGGCCGGTATGAAACCGACAGGGCAGAACAATCGATTCTGATATCTGGATAGAGCTGACTGAGGCAACGCCTCGCTGTTTTGGTCTTCTAGACCATTGCACGTAGTACGCCACCTCACGACGAGACCAGTGGGCTATGAGTGCCACACAACGGGCGCTTAGATGTGTTTTTCGCACTAATTTAGCAGTGATTTGAGACAATTCTTGCGCGAAGAGCGCAAGAAGAGAGAAGTAATGTGCGGACGGATCTGAGCTTCCCATTCGGAATGTCCCAGGGCAACGGCGATATACGGGCCGAACCTTGCCATCGGGATCTCCCAGGGGAACGACAACGAAGGGACGGGTCTCAGTCGGTAGTCGGGGTGCGCCAGGGCAACGACGATACTCTGGACACTGGCACCTGCTTGTGGCACCATCTGACGTAGAGGCTGTCGATGCGGCAATCCACCCATGGTGACGGCGACGGGAGCCGGTTGCCGCTTTTTCTTGCGTTACTGGCTCTCCTTGTGGGCCAAGCACGCCGAGGGAAGCCAGATCTCCAAGACACAAGTCTTCCTTATCGTTTGATTGCTTCAGGCGAAGACTGATATTACGAGACGAAGATCCATTTCGGCGGGAGACTGAAGTCGGGAATAGTACCAGACGATAGAGTACGAGGATGATGTATCAACGGCGGACGATGCGTACAGCCGGACAGCAGGTCTCACTGTCATCGGCGGGTTTCTTCAAGAATATCATCGGGAAACAGTTTGTCAACGCTGAAGACGGCGTCCGCGACGTGCCTCTTTCCCCTGCTGGTCGCATGCATCATCTTGCCGTCAGCCGAGGGAAACTGATCTGATGGGGGCGACCTGCGAGGAGCTTTCCTCACAGCCTTGGACGAAACTGTTGGATTGGTTAATTTCAACCAAAAGCAGCGAGAAATCTGAACTGGCTCGACTCTTATGCAATGTCTTTGAGTCCAGGGCGACCAAATTCGCTCTCACTGTTTGCTTCTCACGATTAGACATTGCCGGCAGCAGCCTCTGTGATTTCGTCGAGAAAGGCCCGGCAGTAGTCTGGCTGCAAAGAAACTCAGACCAGAGACCAAGGTCTTCCGCACAATTGACATGGCACTCTTCCTGGGGCCTCGAAGGACTCATCGAGGGGGCGCCGTGGAAGAGCCGGCAGCACAATCGAGGATGGCGAAAGGGCCCGAGCTCATGCATCCTGGGGTCGGGAATAATCCGCCTTTCGGCCTTTCTCTTACGCAAGGAAGATCCGATGGTATTGTTTGCTCCGTGAGCAGTTGAAGTACATCTTGTGAAGGTAGTTTTGACGTTTGTGAATCTGTTGTGGGCTAGGCGAGTCGAGATGCCATGTCGAACATCTCAGTGTGTAGCTGAGCCGGGTTTGTCTGGACCAGGCGGGAGCAACATCGCCTGCATGCGTCCCGGCATGAACATATGACGGGGTTGAATCGTCGGGCAGCACCTTCGGCCTTCTGTCTTTTGCCTGTTGCTTGGTTCGTCCAGGTGGATGTGTGAGCGTTTGCGGGTGTATATCGGGGTGAGCGTTGAAGGGTTTTAGAAGACCTGGGGTCTGCGTGGCGAGCTTCCTGGTTTGGCGATTCTATCAAGTGCTTCCCTTCCCGTTGTCTTGACTTGCCATATGGATAGGTAATCGCTTTGTGCCAAGCCCACCGCGATATTGGCGCCGATTCGCTCTCGTGATCGTATCCACTAGGGTCTTTGTCCATATTGGTTATACTCTCGAAGGAGTATGAATTGTGCGGCCGTACGGGCATACACATGTGGGCGTGGGGCGTCAAAACTGATTAATATGCAAGGCTTGTTGATCCGGAGTGTCACATCCTCAGACCACAACACATCCAGTGTAGGTGGACTTCATAGACACCTACGGAGGCCGACTGTGTCCGAGGAGGGTCACCAGTAGGTACTGGGACGTCAAGGCCACGATCAGCACCCATAACTCCATGCTTTTGGCCATTGGCTAAGAGGGAAAAGATACCCCCTTGCAGTCGCACCGTGACCGCAGTAGACCGGGTCACTCTTCCCATAGTGCTGTGAGCAGGTAGATTGTGAAGACCTCCCAGAATCTGATCTGGTCTGCAGCAGTGGCACCGACACAGCGTCCTGGGAAGTCCGACCCCTCTTTCAATGGTAGTCTCTAGGTATCTGAGTGCTCAGTGCTCACAGCACTCATTGAGCCCGGGGATTTAGACATGCTTCACACATTGTCTTATGAGTCGAGGTGCTGCGTTGTTGAAGAGATACGAGGTGAGTCGAGCAGTGCCTACGAGTAAGCTTCGTGAACAGTTCTTATGTTATCCCGCCGGATCGCTGACGCCCTGAATCGATGACGTTGTTGGCGATCTTCACCTGTTCGGCAGTTGACTCTGGAAACATGAAATTCCGGATCATCGTGATCACGTTTCTGTGCGTCTTGTTGGACTTCTTTTGGCTGAAAAATGCATCAGGAGGGTTTCATCTGTTTACCCATTGGAAGGTGACAAAGAATCATCAGGCAGAGACCTCATAAGCGATATGTAAAGGGCTTATTGGCTCCAGCCCGGTGACAAACGATGCAAGCGCGCTGTTGATGACCACCACAAACGTCGATATCGCCACCTTCAACGTAGCCACATTGTGGACGAAAAGTGTTGACGTCGAAAAGGACAGCGCGGACGGGACAGTTCGTCCTCCATGAGCGTCCAGCGCGCCAATCTGATTGGTCTGGTAACCTCTTTAACGATCGTCAACGAGGTGCTTCGCCGTGACATTAACCACCCATCGCTCAACGAAACGTTTGATAGTGCGTGGGTCTCTGATTTTGTCACGAAAAAGAAGCGATAAGTAGAGGTTTCCGATCGGCGGGCCCGTCGCAGCCAAGCTAGATCAGCATGTAGGATAGTCATGAACCGTGGGGCTGGGTAAGTGTGTGCATCCTGGCGAGAACGAACGTCGAGATATATGCCGATAGAGTGCCATGGTTCTCGGAGTTCTGACATAGCCTTTCGAAAGCTTGGATGCTGAACTTTTGGCCGGCCCGGGGCAGCTTGAATCAGCCTGTCCCAAGTTGATTGTCGACAGAGTAAGTCTGGAGTGGCTTCTCGAGCATGGTGCCTGCGAGATACGATGTTCCATTCCGAGATTCGAGAGTAGTGTTGGGCGCGAGAATGCCGCGGGGCGATGTCAAATGCGCAGTTAAGCGAGTCTTCGTCCACATGGCCAGCTCCAGCGTCGCTTTTCGGGAGTACCGCGCGTGAATTGGTTGCTTCTCATTCTGCCAGGCGTCCGAGTACCGGCTAGCGTCTTATCGCGGATAAGAAGATTCAAATAAGGACGGGATGAGTAAGGTACGGCTTAGTAGCACCGTAGTTGAGAAGGGAGGCGATGAGAAGAATGAAGATGAGATTCAACGACCCATGCCGATGTCCTCTTCAGCGTACCCCAGTGCAAGCCTCTTGTGTTAACAGACGTCGGAAGGAATGGTGGTGATGTTGCAAGTTGGCTATGTAGACTCTTTCGCTGCATTGGATGAACCAAGGTAGGGTGTGACGGATGGTACTAGCGGTGTGATCCGGGGCCCCAGGGGAAATATTATGCATCCCATCTCCCACCCCGTCCCAACGTCCCAAAAGAGCCCAAGGCAAGGGAGGCCAAAGGATCCTGCGGAAATAGCAAACGGAGGTAATACTCAGTACAAGCTCTTCTCGGCCAGTCCAGGGCAATCGACGACAGGATTCATCCCGTTGGCCAGAGAACAAACGCCGAGCTGACCAAATCCGTCGGCGGTCAGATATTGGCTTCTGTGCCGTATGCAGGTCAACGTGTCTTTCTCCGGAAAAGTAGCCAGCAATACACATCAGAAAACTAGCTGCGGGATGTTTCTGACGTGAAGCTTGGTTGCCCGTCCCACGCGTGGTCTGTATAAGTGCTGCCTCGAAGAGTTCCGAGCTGCCAAGGGCAGGTCGGTCCAGAGCAGTGGTCGTCCGTCACGCCGTCTTGAACTGGACAGATCCAAGTGGCCGACGATTCACCTCTTCAATTCTTGCGAGGGCTCGCCTCGTGGTCTTCATTTCCTCGGTTGGCCGCATGGCAATCTCACCATCGTGGTTGACTCGCTAGGGGCGGTTTATTGCGAGACATGTGCTACCATGGAGTGGGCGAGGGGTGCAGGATCATACGATCCTAGAAGAGGATGGGTAAAAAGAAGCAGTGAGAGTGTAACCAATCTGCCTGAGCAAGCAATAAGTGGTGGGATATTTCTGTGGTGTGTGGCAGGAGGAGGCGCCGTCACGAACCTCGCCGAGCATGTCCAGCAACCAGTTGCCGAACAGACGCTCGCTTTTGCTTTCGTAACCTGCATCCACACATTCAGTGGGATACCAGCCGTCTAGCGTACATTGAACAGTCTTGGGAGTGCGGCGAGTGGGTGAGCTTGTCCTGACCTTGTGATCGCGTTCGGGGATCTCCTTCTCGCAGTGCATCTTGACCATAATGGGGACATCTTTGTAGGTCGAGTTCGAGGGCCTGTGTATGTACCCTTCCATGGCGCTGGTAATCAGAGCCGCATCTAAAGGCGCTGAGGCCGACGACGATGTTGCATCCAGAGCCTTGAGAGCCCGCTCGAGTTTTGCAACGTCATCCCCGTTCCTGCTGCCTTCTTTCCTTTTCCAGAGAGATCTGGTGAGCGAGAAGGATAACGTGAGGTTGGCCAGCCCGTTGGAGATAGGGGTCCCGGTCATTGGCAGGAACGCAAGGGCCTCAGCGTTGAGCGTTGAACTCGCGCAGGTTCGACGGTAGGTCAGCGGGCCTCTATCGGCCGCAATGGAAGGCCATCTCAATTCCAGAGGGAGCAGGAACATCTTGCTGATCCTCCATCTCTTTGAAGAGTTTTGGTTTCCTGGCTGGGCCCATGCCGCGTTCCAGGGAGACATCACCCAACACCTCCATCCAGGCAGCAGTGTCTTTGACGATATGGATGCTCTAGACCGGCTTGATGTACTGCAACAACCCCGGCCTGAGATAAACGAGGACGACATGGGGAAAAAGTGCTGGGCTTCTCTTCTTCGGATGTTCGCAGGGTAATCAAGGGGTGTGCCGGTTGTGAAGGGCGCTCCTCGGCTGTAAGCGTACATGTAGAGTCGGTACAGTCCGACGTCAATCCCATGAAGAGAGCAACTCTGCCGAGATACAACCAGTCACCTTGGCAAAGATCCGGTAAGAATGAAAATTCTCTCTGCGATGGACGAGAATCTTGAAAGCAACAAAGTCGATGGGGATAGTAAGTGTTTGCACGTGCGAAAGCCAAGGGCAGCCCGAATAGACCTGCTGTAGTATGTGCAGAGGTTGAAGGCGGCATGAAGGTCCCGGGGAAGCCTACTCTTGGTGGGCATCGCGATCGTGGGTTCGTCCTAGCTATAGATGGGTTGGACGATTGGGATTGTCCGGGAGGTATTGTCGTTTCCACGGAAGTTATGTCGGCCTGGCCATTGCGTACGTGATGTCTGGGATTCTTCATGAAGCCAAACAAGCCAGAATATGATCAGGTCGTGTGTAGTTGTGATGGCTGATGCTGTATCGACGGAAAGACACAAAACACGCTTCCACAGCAAGTCTCAGTAGACTGTTGCTTGATTACGTAGATAGATGTTTGTGTCAGACGACAGGATCACGTAGATGGTTCTTTGCCTCGACAACTTGGTTGAGCCCGGGGCAACACGATGCCGATAATAGTGATTCGGGCCGTGACGAAGTCTCTGGTGGGGGCTGATAGCCTTGCTGGTGAGTATGCCAACAGGGCGCGAAGATCCTGAATGGTATTCGTTAGCCGGTGTTTGAGAAACAATTTGGTAAGATTTATCTTACATATAGTATACGTGAAAAGGGAACCGAGTTCATTCCAGGACGTCGTCAAAGTGGTGCCACATGAGTACGTTCGTTTCGAGAGCTCATCCGGGGCTTCAGGGCCGGGCCGGTCTCTCGCCTGGCAGCTATTACGAATCATCCGCGAACGGCAACCGGAGACAGGTAAACCGTCTGATCGTATTCGGAGGTGACACCGAAGTGCTAATTATGTCGAAGGATGCTGCTGTGACACGGTTGGTCAGCTGAGTTGCTCTAAAAGATGATCCATCTTGACTTACCGGAGTTTCCCATTACAGCCTCCTGAATTGTATCATTTCTCCACGCTCCAACGACCCGATCCCGCTCGCCAATTCACTACACCACACTGTCTGTGGACAGACAGTCGCCGGAGTTCGCTCGCGAGTGAGACGGAACGACAAGTCTGAAGCATCGATGAGCTTGCGTATCCTTTGTTTCGAGGAGTCTGTCTCCGCAGGTGATGGTAGCATCTTGCGGCGCGATACTCGTCTGAGGGGTGCTCGTGCAAAAGGATCTAAGAATCGGTCAGACGCGCTTCGACCATTGCAAAAGTACCATCTGATGAACTACCTTCGGAATGACCCTTCATGGGATGGACGAGAATTCTGAAGCACGGCGGCAACGATCTCACAGGTGGTTCGTTGAGGAGGAGGATGAATTGAGATACATATTGACATCAAAAGTGCAGCAGACGATCAAGGCAGAGTGAGGGTCTGAAGATCGTCTCGCCATGGCAGAAGAGAAAGAGTATAGTCACGCCAAGGTCTGGTATTTCGCTGGAAATTGGTCAGGGATGGAAAAAGATGAAGAGACAGGGGATGAATCTGCTTCATTAAGTGAGGAGAGAGCGACCTCCCAGTCGCTTCCGTCTGGGTCAGAGGCAAACTTTGTTTAAGCAGGCCAGTACCGCTGCAGACATCTCTATCTGCCGCAGGTGGTCAAAGACAAGCAACATCCCGTGGTGCGGCTTCTGGCGCCGCATCTCGGGTAAGTACATATGGCGGTGTGGTAGGTCTCGCATGTGTGTGGAAACAAGAGAAACGGCCAACATGACACCCCGCAAAAGAACAGGGCATGGCGCCAGAGGGAGGGTAACGCGCAGCCAAGCGCGTCAAGCACTGCTTGATCCCGTGAGAAGTGGGGTGTGACATGACAAGAGGCAATTCCACTGGTTTTTGCAACCCATGGCGATAGGTAAAGCGACGACCTATTTGCGAGAGGATATCGGAGGTTGATTTAGGCACATGCGCTTCCAAACCTTGACGTTTCCCCTCCGCTAGGAGAGTCTTGCTGACGATGCCAGTCCGGATGACTTCAAAAGACCAGGCGAGGAGGGTTTGAGCGCTTGATACAGATGTCAAAACTGCAGAGATATGTGCAAGCCGCCGTCCAGAGAAGCTGCGAAAGTTTGGTAGAGACAAAAACAGGATGAAATGGTGGTTGGAGGACAGGCAGCGATTCCTTTCAGCAAACAGAGTTCCATTGCGGTAGATGACGTCGGCCAGAGTGTCGTCTCGCCGAGACAAGCGAAACTGGACCCTGTCCGGGGGAATGCCGGCGGATCCCCGGAAGGAAGCACCGAATAGGCCACAATCACAACAAACTGCCTGGAGAATATTGAAAATCTCCTAGTTTATTGATCAAGCAGTTGGAGTATGATGATCTCGAGCATCGTGAATGATTTTCAGGAGGTGCTGGAAGAAATCGTTGCGCATGTCCGCCGCAGAAACTGGGGACCTCAAACTCTGGGCCCATGCCAGCTACTTAGGCAACTTTGTCACCAACCCACCCAACGCAGTTCGGAATCATCGGATTTCGAGCTCCTCAGCGTCAGTGGTGTAGGGGTTAGTCTCAGAGGGACGGGTTTATTACGTATATAGTTGTCAAATTGGCGCCCACCTAGCGCCAGCCCTGCCGGACTGGCCGAGTTTCTGCCGATAATTACCGCCCGCGCGCGCCCCCTAAGGGGCGCGCTAAGGGCGCAAAAAGCAGGCTCTTTTTGCCTAGTTATAATAATATAAATTTTTCACCCTAATACTATTAAAGTGCTAATTACGCCTAATTTAATCATTAATAGTCTAGTATATATTACTAAAGCTATTATAACCCTCTTAAGCTCTCTATTATTAATATAATTATTTAATTATTATTATTCCCTATAATAAGTACCTTATTTATACTTATAAAGCTTATTATACCTACTAATTAGCTCTACTAGCTTTAACTTATTAAGATAAAAGCTTATAATCTTAATATATAGTAATATATTAACCTAATTATTAATAAGGCCCTACTAACTATACCTACCTAGCTAGAAGTATTATTATTATTACTATTTATGAAGTAAATTACTCCTTTTAAGCCTATTAAGTTACTATATAATTTATTAGCTAATAACTATTAGATTAGGTATATAAGCGTAATAAGGGCTAAAAAAAGGCACCTAATAGGGCCCTATATCTTTTAGCTTAATTTAATATTAAGCGGTATAAATACTTTAGTAGTATTAAGGTGAAAATTTATATTATTATAACTAAGTAAAAAGAGCCTACTTTTATACCCTTAGTATACCTCCTTAAGGGGTATATATAGGTAGTAATTATTAATAGAAACTTAGCTAGTCTAATAGAGCTAGTACTAAGTAGGTATTAATTTAATATATCCCCTTAAATAAGCCTAAAAAGCTACTTTTAATATATCTATTACTATTTATAAATTATATAAGATATACTTAAAACTATAGAGTTTTTAATTATTTAAAAACTTAATAAAATAATAAATAATTTAATAGATAAATAATATATTAACTAATACTTTAGCCTTTATAGACTATTTATAAGCTTTAAGCTTAAATTAGAGGCCTCTATTACTCTTATTAAAACCTCTTATAAATAGAAAGGAGTAATACTATTTTTAAGGCTTTATAAGGAGTCTCTTATAATATCTTAAGAGTTATATAATTATTAATACTTACTTTATACTTTTTAAGTAAGCTAATAGCTTTATTCTATATTATAGAGAGGGGGGTAAATAGGCCTATCCCTCTTATTACTTATAAGGTTTTTTATACTATTATAGATTAAAGCTAATAGCTAGTTATTATAGATTTTAATAATCTTATAATTTAACTTAAAATTAATAATATATTTATACTTAATATATATATAAACCTCCTATTTACCCCTCTAGCTAGATAGGCTATTAATAATATAGTAATATTTAATAAAAATATAGTAGTAGCTATATATAATATACTTAAGGGGTTAGTCTTTTTATATAGAGCTTAAAGTTTAATACTACTTTATACTTATAATATTAAAATTAATATAATATAATATAATATATTATATTACTATAAATATCTTATAAGAGTTAAAATAGTCTATTTCTATATTATTTTAATACTTTAATATATAAATATTAATAAATAAGTTAAGGGGAGATATATAGAGGATCTTAGCTAATTTATAAAACTATATACCCTTCTTAAATACTCTATACTCTATTATATATAGTATTAATAAATAAATACTTTTATACTCTATTAAGAACTACTTAAACTAAAATATACTCTTCTATATAATATTTTTAGCCTAAATAATAAGCTTATTATATATTATAATAATAATAAGCTATTACTTAGAGATTAAGGGAGCTATATATTTATAAGGGTCTTAGGAACTCTAGAATAGAGACGCTAGAAATAGCTTAAGGAACTATAGGTAAGCTAATAGTAAAGGCCTATAGGTCTAATATTATAAATAGATAAATAGACTAGGCTAGCGCGCTAAAATATACTATATTAAGCAAATTTATAGCTAATGAAGGAAAGAAAACTCTACTATAGGGCGTATATAAGATCCTAGCCTTATAGGCTAGAGCGTATAAAGCCCTACTTATATAATAGAGGTTATATAACTACTAGTTAAGCCTAAAAGGCTCCTAAGGTTATTAATATTATAATATTACCCCCCCCCTT